TGTAACCACATCATTTTTTCAGGGATTAATAAAGTATTCTGATTTTGATCCAGGAGCTTTACTGACTTGATACAACGTTTTTATTTTTTTTAATTTTTGAGCAGTACATTCATGTAAAGATATATTTTGTAATGTATTCATGTTTTGTGTTCTATCATGAAAGTTAGAAATAATAATAATAAAATAATAACAATTTAAAATAATAATTTTAAATTGTGAAATATTTGTAATTACTGTACATATGACGAGTGTATTGAAAAGGCAGGGTTAATAAGATACAATGTATAAAAACTACATTCCAAAGTGAGTCTGTGTTGATCAACAAAACCTTCAAACATTCAGAATGCATTCTTTGTAAATTAGGAAAAAGTCTGATTAGGAAAAAGTCTGAGCCACCAACGCCGTCACAGTGACGGCGTTGGTGGCTCTGCATGGCTGTAGGTTCGAGTTACACGTTAAACCAAAGGAGGGGTTTTCTTCTGAAATGCTTAGATCCAGCTGAGTGTTAGACCATCAATGCCGGGAGCACTGAAGCTGGTTTTGAGGCATAAAATGGAACTTCTTTTGAAAACACCTTGTAGTCATTTTTCCTTTAATGTGACACGTGTCTATTAATCTACAAAGCTGGCAGGGGGCACTGTCGACCTGTACACCTGCATGCAGGTACACAGACGATCTACATGAAGATGATCCTCTGAATGAAAGTCAGAGGGGATTTTTCTCAGTCTCACCCCCACCTGAAGCTCTTCATTTATCTTGAGGACAGCACCTCAGATGGACCGACCCGTGTTGTTTCAGCTCTGCTTTGCTTTCTGGGTTGGGATAGAGCGGACCGGAGCGTTGCAGTCCAGCTCACCGTGGGGCGCGAACACGAGCATGATGAGGAGAGATCGGTCAGTTAACGGCTCGGTGGTCCTCCACGACTACATGGTGTTTTTATACCAAACGCTGTCCAAACCTCAAAGCAGAGACTTTGATGTTTCAGACGGAGCAGGAGCTGCTAACACAGTTACAAGTTTTGTGGACCAAGGACAAGGTTTGACACCAATTTAATTCACTTTCCCTCAAAATCCTGCCTAAAAAACTGAATGTTCTAGTTTTATTACATCTATATTTGGTGTTATTCTGTTTTAAGCAACCATATTTCCATTGTTGACACAGATTACTAAATGTATCACTGATTTATAAAGTTAGTAAAGAATTTAAAGTTAGTAGAAGTGATTATTTATGTGGGTTTTTGCGATGTTGTGACCATCAGAAGGTCTCATCTCCAGGTTTATAGTTTTCATTGCCATTCACTCGCTGGGCTCTCGTCTTCATTTTCGGTTTGACAGCGTTTCAGTAGACAAAGGTGAACGGCGTAGACATGAACTGAGCTGTGGTTTGGGGAAAGCTCTGCTTTGCTTTCTGATTCTACACAAAAACAAGAACGAACAGCTTGTAGAACGGGGGTGGGGGTGTCGGTCACATATAGATAAGGGCCAGAAGGGGCGTGTTTGAAGGCATGGTCCCGCTCCTGAAAATTATCTAAATCCTCCCCTAAGTCAGCCTGAAAAACTTTCAATAGATTTGAAATCCATGAATGAATCCATCTACACCAACACATCAGCTTTATCGTTTCAGCAGCATTTTAGTGCATTTCTTTCTTAACTTCCTGTTTTTGTTAAACGGGTTTAACAACAGGAATGACATTTGTAAATATCATTCCTGTTTGAC